CCCACACCAGCCGGGCAGCAGCCAGGGACCCACCTCAGTCCTCGCCCCGCTGGCCGTCCCCTCCAGAACCTCCCACTCACCTTCCACGGTGACGAAGAAGATGATGCTGTCGTCGCCGGTGTCGCAGAGATACTCCCCCGCGTCCCTGCCTGTGGTGCCCAGGACAATGAGCGAGCGGTGTGCCCCGTCCTCCTCCAGCCGCACACGCCCGGTGTCCTGCAACTTCTCCCCGTCCTTGTACCACTTCACCTCCCCGTGGGCGTGCGAGAGGTGCACCTCCAGCACCAGGTCCTCCATGGCCCGGCAGTGCCGGTGGGTCGGCAGGACATCCCTCTCCAGGATCCTGACCAGTGGGTCTGCAGCACCCAACACAGCAGAGCTGGGGCCTCCAGGGTCCATGCACCCAGCACCCCCCGCCAGGCTCTCCCCCAGCCTCTTGCTCACCTGACACTTGGACGGTGAAGGTCACTGTGTCATCGGTGGCATCGCAGACGTATTTTCCGGAGTGCTCGGCTCGGGCCGCGGGGATGAGCAGGCAGCGGTGGGCACCCTCTTCCTCCAGGACAAGGCTGCCCCCAGCCTCCAGCCTTACACCCTCCTTGGTCCAGCACACGGGCGCATCCGCACGGGACAGCTCACAGTCCAGTGTCACCGTCTCCCCAGGGGACACTGTCACGATGGGAGGAGGTCTGTGGGGCTGCAGGATCCTCACTGGCGGCTCTGCAAGGATGGCGTGGCCATGATGCAAAGCAGCACGGGGACAACGCAGCCCCGGGGGACGCCTCTGCTGCCAGCCCCAGGCGAGCACATGCTCTGGGTGGCCCAGCACCCAGGGGTTGGGCACCCACCAGCTCCGTCACTACAGAGGAGCTGGTCCCCCTTACCCAAGCTGGGAAAGACCCCGCGGGCTAGAGCCCCATCAGCACCTCCCTGCTCCTGGGTCCCTGCTGACCTGACACCCTGACGTCAAAGGAGACGGCCTCATCCTTGCTCTCGCAGATGTACTCGCCCGCATCCTCCGCGCTGCTCCTGGGGATGAGGAGGCAGCGCCAGGCCCCCTCCGCCAGCAGCAGCAGGTTGTCAGTCTCATCTACCTCCAGCCCATCCTTGAACCAGCTCACGGGAGCATCCGGCACGGAGAGCTCACACCGCAGCTCCACACACCCTGGCGCCTGCACCAGCA